TCTGAATTTAGTGGCCAATCAGAACACTCACAGGGAAGAAATTTCTAGTTAAATTACCTCATGCTTTAGCTGTCACTGAGCATGCATCTGTGGGGAAAGTAGGTCAAACATGGCTGACAGGTCCGCAGGTCACCCAGGGGGCACGAGCTGGGTGAGCCTTGGAACTTACCACTCACAGACTTCAACTGCGCATGTCAGGTACAGAACTTTTGTGTTGGCAGCATATACTTAGGATTTTTCCGAGACAAGAAGCAAGACCTTTATTGCCACATTAAAGGCAAGACCTAAGGGAAAATTCAAGAGTGAAAGGGCAAGGTGTGGGAGATTCAAAAGTTTGTTGACAACCACAATATGCATGCTTTCTTTAGCACAAGCAAAACTATCTATGTGCCAAGCACACAGAGAGCCATCCCTCTTATGGTCCAAGGATGGAAAAACACTCCTTAAAGACAACTCTACCATCAGTGCATGGGGGATGGAACACTTTCAAGAGCACCTGAACTGAGGCTTTAATGTAGAATGGCTTGGATGGTCATGTCTGAAACAGCACCCCAATAAAGACTACTTTGCAGATTTACCAACTTATCAAGATGCCTAGAAAGCCATTCAGCAGGTAAAGAACAACAAAGCATATAGTTCTCATGGAATACTAGCTAAAATTTTATAAGGAAGGTGGAAAAAATCTCTTACCAACTATACACATTGCTATTATGCAAATCTGGAAACATGAATGGATTCCCAGCGACTTGAGAGATGCCAGAACTATATTCAAGGATGGAAATAATTGCAGAAATTGTCATGGTAGTGCACTCCTGTCCATCGCTGCCAAGATCTCACCCACATTCACGTCAGTAGAATCACTTCCCTCACTGAGGAGATTCTGTCTGAGTCTCAGTGTAGTTTCAGATGACTCAGAAGTACAATAGATAAGTTCTTTGTTGCTAGACAGCTGCACGTGAAGTGCCTTCTTATTGACTGCTTAAGGCCTCTGATTTGATCAGAGGCCCTATGGAAGATCCTGATGAAATTTTGATGTCTGAATTTGTTACCATTGTTAGACTTCTTCACAATGACTTGACAGTAACTGTTCTAAGTGATGACTCTTCACTATCAGAACTGAAATCAAGCAAAAATATGTGATTGCAGCAACACTTTTCCATCTATACCATAGCTATTCCTTATCTCATTGCTGATAGACTTTCATCTGGAATCAGCATCCAGTATGGACGGGAATCTCTTTAACATCAACCAGTTACTTTCCAATTCCAAAATAACCAACACCTCCATTAATGATCTTCAGTATGCTGATGACTGTCATGTATGTTCACTCATTTGAAGAGCTGCAGATCACTTTTGCTTCTGTGAAGGGTATGAAATGCTTGGACTTTCTGTCAACTTCATCAAACTCAAGATACTTTATCAATCCACCCCCAACCAACCAGCTGATCCTGCTCACATTAAAATTAGAGGGTAATCCTTGGAGAATGAGCATTTTCTCTACATGGGTAGCTAGCTTTTCCAAAAAAAGTAATCATAGACAAAGCTATTCACTACCAGATCAAATCTGCCAGTGCCCTTTGATGATCATGACATCAGGACACAGACCAAGCTTCTTATCTACTAGGATGCTGTCATCCCTACTATGTTGTGTGGGTGTGAAACTTGAATGACATATCGGATATACCTGAGAGCTTTAAAACATTACCATCAACAATGTCTCCAGAAAATCCTCCATATCAACTGGAAGGATAGAAGAAGGAACAGCAGCATTCCAGCTCAAACAAACACCACCAGTGTTAAAGGCATTTGGCATGTTTATATGGCACTGTCACAGCCTGTATGTTTTCAGGGGATGCAGCCAGCTGAAGCCAGTAAGCAACTGATTGCAGTCTTGCTGAAAAGACTAGCCCAGCTACAAGCAACGAAATCTGATTACAGGCTGCCTAGGGAATGGGAGCAGCTGAGGCAGACAGCTAGGTGACATCCAAGCAGCTAAAAAGGTTCCCAGGGAACAGTGCCGGGTTGGTCAGAGAGAGAGACAGAACTGTGGGCTAGAAGCTGGAAGTGAGAGAGCTGCACGTGAGAGTGGAGTGTCGAGTGGGAGAGAGCCAGCAGGTCACCTCATGCAGGAGCCCGGGGATCATAGCAGGAGTGCCCCTCTCCTAGAGGACTCTAAGTGCAGCAAAGAGACTAAGTGATCCCATCCTGTGGCTGAAGGGACCAGAGGGACAAGGGAGAGAGTGGGCAAGTGGCAGCAGACTCTCTTTGGGTTTGGGAGAAGACCCCATGTGGTATAGAGTTTGGTTTACAGACTGAGTTGTTTATGTTGACTCCGCTGGGAGGAAGTTGTCCCCTGGGGAATAAAAATACCGGGAAAGATGATGAATGAACCTGAAAGACTGTGTGTTTTCTGAGTGAGCAAATTCCTGAATCTGCTACGGCACCAGCTCTACTGGACAGGACATGTCATGGCAATCAGTTCCCAAAACAGGTCCTATACGTCCAACTCATCAATGGTGCTCGCTGTTGAGGTGAGCAAAAGAAAAGATTCAAGGACACCTTGAAGGCCAATCTGAAGAAATGTGATATTGTCATCAATACCTGGGGGACTCGAGCACTGAATTGTTCCCAGTGGTGCTGTGATGTATGAGGCATCAATCACTTGGAAGCCAACAGAGAGATAGAGAGACAAAAGGAAAGAGCTGTGACTTGATGTCACCAATATCTATTCCTCCCTTCTGGAACTGTTTGCCACACCTGCAGTCAAGCATGGATCTTGGATTGAATCTGTCAACTACAGAAGTCACTGGTGACTTCCCTGTTCACTGGGAGACTGTCATCCTTGTTTTGGGGGATTAGTGCACTGCCATTTCAGTGGTCCCTTGATATGTCATCCATATCATTTTCACTACCACCTCTACTAGGTTATAGGAGCTTTGGTGAGATGGTTCAGCACAAGGGCTAGAAGTGGACTCTATTTTGCATGTATGTCTATTTGCTTCTGGCTTTGGCACCGTGGCAACACAATGCTCACTTCCCCAGGCCCAGCCCTGGCACTGGCATAGGACATGTGTCAGGGCACAGCCAAAGGAAAGAGGGGATGGCTGAAATTAATGGAAAAAGACCTTACGCCCATTTCATCTGGGCACTCCTGTCCAAAACTGTCCATTTTGACCATTTGCGGCCCCTGACCATTTGTGGGGAGGCTTGAGGAAGCGTATTGATTATAAGCTTTTTTTTCCTCTTTTTTTTTGAGGAGATGGATCTTCTGTTGGGCAGATGGTTTTTGTGGAGAAAATGAAGGACTATTTGCAGCTGTGAAAAGATGGGTATCTGAGTAAACATATAACCTTTGGGGATTCATGGTTTGTGTGGAGGGGCAGATAGCTGTGGGAGGAAAGTGATTTCAAGGGCCCAGTAGTTACAGGGAGAGAGAGTCAGTTGTTGTTTTGTTGCCTTTTACCAGTTTTCTTTCAGCATCAGGGATTGACTCCTCCTGTCCCCTGGGCTCAGTGATTTACAGTACTAAATAAGCTTGTGGGAGGTGGCTATAGCGATCCTAAGGTTTTTCCTGCCTTTGGAGAGCAGACACACATGTGCACTCTGCCAGTTGCTGAGCAAAAGGTTGCAGCTCCACAGCTGGCTCTGGTTTATGTTGGTGTTTCATACATATACCTTGAAAATGAAAAGGCTTGATTACTGAGCACAAGGACTCCTGGCTTCTTTGAGAACTCCACACCAATGACGCCATAACAGGGTCTCTGCAGTAAGTGAGAGCATAAAGCCAACTAGCTCCTCGCAACCATAACTGCTGCCTGCTCCTGATTCTTTAGCTGTGCTCTCCCCTCTCACTTGGATAAACCAATGACCCCTGTAATGCATCATGGATCCCGATTCCTTTCCAGCTGTGTCATCTTCAGGACAGTCAGCTGGGGCAGACGCTTCCTTCGTAGCCATCCACCTGAGGAGAATCTAGGACCAGTGGTGAGTTCTTTCTTCTCATGTTCTCCTGACCCATAGTTCTTCCCGTGGGGAATGCTCTTAGCCCCTCCATACAAAATATACAGCTGTCCTTAAGGCCCTCCTCTTCCCTACTGCCCATGGGTAAATTCTTTCACAGAGCTCCCTGTCAAGCTAAGGGAAGAGAAATCTACCTAAAGCTTCCTCTCTTCCCATAAAATAGTGTGGTTGCCCCCACTGCCGAGGGAAAGGGAAACTTCCTTTCACATACATCTGCACAGAGAGAGAGAGAGAGAGAGAGTATAACATTCTGGATGCCAGAAATGTCTCTTTCTAAATCTGGATTATATTCCCTAGCACAAAGCACACCCTACTTTTTCTCAAATCTCCTAACACCAGATTACGTAAATTTCAGTTTTACACCTTTCCGTGGACACCTCCCCTACCTAGCAACTCTTCTCCATTATAACGTTCCTCTGTTTTGCCCTACCACACTTAATGGCTGCTACAAGGCTCTCTCATGACACTAATTTTGAGGTAAATATCTGTGCAGAGACAACCCTTGAACAAAGTGATACTATTTCTGTATAGATTTTTATTTTTGGATAACTGAAAAAATATGCACAAGATGCACTGTGTTTATACAAATATAGCCAAGGTTCTAACTCCTAGGAACAGTATGAAAGCTTTTTGTGCTGGAGGAGATTAACAAAAACCCAAAACAAAAAAATCCCGTTTTTTTATTTTTCAGTTTCATAAAGTACTGGTGATTTTAGGCTGACTAATCCTCCCCTGTTTAGGCTTCCTCTAGAATCTATCAGATTACCGGGATTATACGTTTGCAATCCAGTAATACGTTGTTTGGTTGGCAACAAGCTGCTTACCCTGGAAACACTCCAGCTTGTTTGGCCTTATTTAACCTTCTTTCATTTACTTCAGGAGACTGTAATTGGTTTAGCAGCATTTTCACTGGCTATCCTTGGACCAGCTGGATGGTTCCTGTCCCACCTTCAAAGCTATAAAAAGAAAGAGAAGACAAGTACTTGAGTTCTCTGGATCATCAGATCAGCTGTAAATATCCTTACTGGAGACCTCTTTAAAGGGAAAACTTCAACCTAAAGTCAAGACAACTTAAAACATATTTAAAAGCAGTTTCAGACTTTGCAGTCAGTGCTGTATTGCTGTGTGATTCACTTACACAAACTTAATTAATATGATGAATTAAATTGGGGCTGTCCATTTTCTGGCTGACTGAGGGCTGTAGGCAACCTGGGCAAACACCGCATGGGCCACATACACCTGGGCTGCAGGTTTTCCTGTATAGCAGGAGGAGTAAAAGGGGGTGCAACGGCTAGATCAGGAGCGTGGGGGGCCACCCTGTGCTACCATATGCTTACAGGCTGCCAGTTGGAGAGGCCCAAATTAAATTCCCAGTCTTGCAAAGCCTCATGCACGTGCTCAGTATTAGGCCCTAGGAGATGGCTCATAGGACTGGTTCCACTGAATATGAATAAACACATACTTAAGTCTTTGCAGAATTGGGGCCTGAATGAATAGTGGAAAGTGACATATTGTGGTTTGATTGAAGTGGGCTCAGTTCCAGGCATTTCCACTGGACTTGCATAAACCCCATCTCCATTTGGCTGGAGAGGTGTCAAAAGTGCAAGGTGAGCAAACTGGAAAAAATGTATAGAAAAATCATGCTTTTTAAACTCATTCAGTTTTACTCATACTAAAGGTTATTTATAATAAAAGGAAAATATATTGAGAAAAAAGGAGATTTTAATGTTAACTTTCTCTTTAGTTGTCTGTATTATTGTGGTTTTAGGAAAAAAACCCAAACCTTGTACTTTTAAATGTAATCTGCAAATTACAACTGCCAGAAGTTAGCAACAATTTCGGTTTGTTTTAAGCATTCAGGTTTTTCAGGTATGTGGAAAATCTGGCCATGTTTGTTTATAATGGATCATGTTGTAAATACTTTTAAATGTAGTCTCCATTTTAAATAAATAATGCGATTATTCAAATTGTCACACTTCCATGTTGCTATTCTTTGTTGAAGAGATTCCCTTTAATGATTATATTCTGGTTTACAAAAATATGGAACGTCATGGAATGCCTAATAAATTGACCAGAATATGTTTTACAATATGGTTTATGATTATACAATCAAGGGGCCTGACAGTGTTAGCCTAATATGACTATCAGAGCACCTACAAGACAACTCACAGTAACTTGCAAACAGCTTTAGAGAGAAGGGTTTCATCGCAGTTCATTGTTTAGTTAAATGAATATATAAATTTTTAGTTCATTTCTAAATAATGCTTTTCAGTAATGCTAAAAAGTATCCTTTCTACCACCTTAAATGATTTCAGACTTTTCAGAGTTGGTAGAATGGAAGCACTTTGATGGTTTAAAAATAGAGGTGCTGTCTTTTTTGTTGCAGAAAAATACATCTTTTGCTGCTGTAGACTAACAGCCTGATCCAAAGCTTATTGATGTCTAATGAAAGATTCCTATGGATTTCAGTGAGTTTTGGGGACTATATTTTTGATTACCAGAGAACAAATCATGATCAGATGAAAGCAGAAAGATAGCTGCAGGACGCTGAAGAGCAGTTGTTTCCAGGTCACTTGGGAATGATCGTTTCCATTTGTGCTCATCTATACAACTAAAGGAGTTTGTCTCTTAAAACTTCTGCTGTCTATGGGCACTTGTACACATGATGAAAATTGCCCATTTTTGTGTTTTAATTGTGTCCCACTTTACATGTAGGGTTTTTTGTTTTGTTTTGTTGCTATTTAAACAAGTTTGTTAGATTGCAAACTAAACCACATCCCTATGTACTTTAGTTTGCAAGGTAGCTACTTGTAACATTGCAGCCTTTAATCTGACAGCTCACCTGGCCATGGGAGAGGTGGGTTGAAGGCAGAAGTGGCAATCCCGTTTTTTTTCTTCATGGAGCCTGCCCACCTCTCCCATGGCCAGGGGGTGAGCTATCATTGGGCTGAGCAGCCCCTGAGCTGCAGGGGACCCCGGTCCTTCCCTCCATGCTGGCAGCACCCTCTGCTTGGAGGCGTCTGATCCAATGCTTCCCTGAGCCCGCCTGGGCTTCCAGCACACCATGCACTGTCCCTGCTGTCTTCCCTGGATGCCAGCACACCCAGCCACCCTCCTGCTGCTTCTCTGTGTTGCCCCTGGGGCAAGGCAGCCCATTCCTGGGTGATTCCAGGTGGTGTGATGGAGGTGGGGACAGTGCATGGGGCAGTGCTGCCTGGTTGAGCTTGGGGAAGAGTTGGATCTGGCAGGTGCTGCCTCCAAGCTGGGGCAGCATCTGGCCCACTAGCAGCCTACCAAGGCAGCCCTGGAGGAGCACTGGCACTGTGGAGGGAAGGACTGGGGTCCTCTGCAGCTCAGGTCCTGCTGGTATCTTGCCCCCCAGCTGCAGTCATGCTCTGCAAAAAGAAAAATGATTGGCCCTCTTGCTGCTTTCTTTTTTTCCTCCAGCAGAGCCTGCCCATATGAACTGCAGGTAGACTGAGCAACCCCTGAGCTGTGGGGGGCCCCATTTCTTTGCTCTGTGGTTGTGGTGCCTCCAGTTTGGAGGTGCCTGATCTAAAGCTTCCCTGAGCCCGCCCGGGCTTCCAGCACACTGTGCACCATCCCCACCACATTTTCCAGCTGCCAGCACACCCAGCCACCTTCCTGGTACTTTCCCACGCTGCCCCAGGGGCAAGGCAGCCCATTCTTGGGTGGTTCCAGGCAGCGGGAAGTTGGTGGGGACAATGCATGGGGTGCTGCTCCCTGGGTGGGCTCAGTGAAGAGTTGGATCTGGCGGGTGCTGCCTCTGAGCTAAGGCAGCATCTGGCCCACTAGCAACCCATGTGGGCAGCTCCAGAGGGCACTGCTGCTGTGAAGGGAAGGACCGGGGCTCCCTACAGCTCAGGGCCTGCTGGCAGTTTGCCCCTCAGCTACAGGCAGGCTCCATGAAATTTAAAAAAAAAGGATCGGGCCCCTCATTCCCACCCCCCCCCCGCCCCTGGTGGATCGTATTTATGCGAGGTGCTGGTGGGTTGAGCAGCCTTGAGCTGCTGGAGGCTCTGATGCTTCCCTCTGCAGCAGCAGCACCCCCTCAGGCCACCTGGGTGGGCTTCTAGTAGGCCAGATGCTGTCCCAGCTCAGAGGCAGTACCTGCCAGATCCAACTCTTCCCCAAGCCCACGTGGGAAGCAGTGCCCTGTATACTGTCCCCTGCAACCTGGGACTGCCCAGGAATGGACTGCCTTGCCCCCGGGAAAGCATGGGGAAGTGGCAGGAGGGTGGCTGGGTGTGCTGGCAGCCAGAGAAGGGGGTAGGGACGGTGCACGGTGTGCTGGAAGCCTGTCTGGGCTCGGGGAAGTGTTGGACTGGATGCCTTTGAGCTGGGGCAGCTCTCAGCCTGCTAGCAGCCTGCCTGGGCAGCCCTGAGGGGTGCTGCCACTGCAGAGGGAAGGACTGGAGCCCCTGCAGCTCAGGGGCTGCTTGGCCTACCAGCAGCAGCTCACCCCCCAGCCGCGGGAGAGGTGGGCAGTCTTCACAAAAAAAAAAAAAAAGGGAATTGGGCCCCTCTCCATAACAGTGATGGACGTCCCTAAATTGAAATGGTGGGTTTTTAATTGTCACAAATTTAAAACAATTTTAATTGTTTTAAATTTAATTTAAACCCCCATCATGTGTAAAAGTGCCCATCAAACCATTGGTTTTGTTGTTGTCTTTTTTTAAATGTAATGATTTTGTTGCAAAGAAAGATGAAACCAGAAACAATGTACAGATAAGTTCCCGTATTGTCTACCCACATAAATAGACAGAATATCAGAACAGCAAACTGAAAGACCAAATGGGGAAGTGGAGTGGATATTGAGTGAATAGCCAAGGTAATGCTGGCATATTCCATCAACCTTCACTAGATTTTGCAGCTTTGAAGTGTAAGACCTATATCAATTGTTTAACAAGTAGCTGGATAGTATAAGTGACTATCTGTATTTTATACCACAAATCTACCTGAAATAAATCTCTTGGTCTGCAGACTTGACCTTGTCTTTGTCAACCTTGGACCTTGGTTTCTCTTTTGCATAAAGCTTCTTTTTTTTTGGAAGGGGGTAACACCCATATCTTATAAAGTCATTCATTTGGGGTAAATGTTCGCAGGGTTGGGGGTCTGTTATTCATATTTCATTTAATATATAAGAACAAAGTTCTTAAGATTATGACGTATTTTAGTGAATGCACTTACCTTTAAAGTTATGATAATAAGCAGGAGGTTGCCTGGGTATAATATCATAAAGGATGTAAAAGTCTCATTGAAACAATGGGAATAGCACTGGATGAAAGCAGTTTCTGTTTAAATGTTTAACATTTGGAGACACAGGAACAGGGGGATGTTTATCCTGATGTAGAAACACTTCTTAAAATCTAGAACTGTGATTGTTTAAACTTTAAACTATTTTCATAAACAAATGAATTTCTCAGTTTTCCAGACCATTGTAAATGTTTTTGTCTCAGTAATGTGAATTAGATTTTACAGCTCATTTACAGTATTTAGTTCTTGCACAGTATTTTCAGCAATGGAACTTAAAATGTTTTAAAAGATCCCAAGCAACATAATCCTATAAATCCTTGCACAGATGGGAAGGACCAGGCATAAAAGAGTTTTCTAAGGACATGCAGAAAGTGAGTAGTAGATGGAAAGAGAACCCAGGGAGACTCTGCCCTGCGTTTCTGCAGTCTGTCATACTGCAGAGGAGTAGGACTGCAGCCTCCAACATAATTTACAGCAGCCTCCCTGCAGCTCCTTCTTTTCCCTACCCCTGGATATTCTGGGGCAGGAACTGCTGGGGGGTCATCAGGAGGCAGGATTATAGCCGTCTCTCAGGTCCTGCACTTGTAGAATTCTTCCATGACCAAAACTCAATCCTTAGCTGTTCTTTACATCACTCTGGTGTTTCTGCCAGGTGAAAAGAGGGAGAGCATGGGGAGTCTTCTACAACCCTAAATGGAGCTCTTTCCTCAAAAGAAAATGGTGATACTAATTTTCTAGTTTACAGGCATGTGTGATAGCAAATATTTAGGGACAGATAAATTCAAATCAAATATAACTACCCCAAGACCAAAATCTTGGGCAGGTCTCAAGAAACTCATGAACTTGGTTTATAAATCATAAAATTAAAAATAAGTTACCTTTATTTTTTCCTAGGTTTTGAGTGTGTATGATGCACAGGGGTCCAGAGTTACAGGAAGTAGAAACTTACCTTAAAACAGTAACAGAGTTGAGAATCCAACATAATTACATGACTCCAGGAGCTGGAGATTTAAGAAACACAACAAATATCATATGTCTTGATAAAATCATGCGAGGTAGCAACCCTGCATGCATATATAAAGATTACATATTGAGTTTATTTTATAAACATTTTAAGGAATTTTTCACACACAAGTCAATATAAAAGGGTTTATTTGATCTTTTGTTTTTTTCAAGGATTGGCTTTCTAAAAATAGGTTTGTCTACACTGTGGATGAAAACCAAATGAATTAAGCTTCATTTTGTTTGCTTGCTCAGAGTTTAATAGTAAGAAGTTACATGCAGTACATATAACTGAAAGTGACAACAGCCCAATGCATACAGTGATGCGTTGAAAGCATTGTTCTCTCCTTATATCTTAAAATGAAATCAAGATTCTTACTGGTACTAAAACAAGCATAATGTTAAAACTAAAAAAGCTATCAGGCAAGCCAAACCAAGAAAAAACAAACAAACCTCCTTGCAATACCCCAGATCACAGTGGATGGAAAAATCTGAGAATGACATGCCTCTTAGATTCATAGATTTATAGATGCTAGGGTCAGAAGGGACCTTAACAGATCACCGAGTCTGACCCCCTGCCTAGGCAGGAAAGAGTTGTGGGGTCAGATGACCCCAGCCAGATGCTTATCCAGCCTTCTCTTAAAGACCCCCAAGGTAGGGGAGAGCACCACCTCCCTTGGAAGCCCATTCCA